ACATTCTGTTGGAAAGAGACTCAGAGGCTCACGGCCAAACCTACAGCCGTCCCTGTCTCTCAACTGTCAGGTGCCATCTGCCACCTTCATTTCGCAGGCACCTCTATAACAGCATCTAGGCCTCCGACAACTTTGTCCCTCACTCAAAGGCTTCTTTCATTCATAAATCTACTCATTCATTAATCAGTTTCCGACCGCTCCACATTATACACTGGACAAAGAAGTAAGAGTTTTGGTTACTTAAAAAAAACCCAGTTATGTTATGTGAATATGTTTTTGTTTTAATTCCAGGTGTGGGATATGGGGCTGCTTCACAGCAGGTGATTATGATTTGCCTCCTGCTCTAGCAGGGGCATGATTTTGACCAGCGGTAGAGAGTTTAATTTCAGGGACTCCAGTGAGGGTGTAAATGCCAGAGCCCCGGGAAAGGCATGGGTGCTCCAAGGAGGCTATTGCTCCCTGTTGCAGTTTGACCAGAAGCTGGAGACAGCCTAGACTTTGCCCCAAGGAACCCCAAATCAGCAGGAAGTAGCCTATAGAGGTCTAAGCCCCCTTTCCCCTCTAACCTTCCTTCTCTCCTACCTAGTATTGGGGGATGGAAGGGATCAGGGTGGAATCAAGGTTGGAAGGGTGGTGAATATAAGAACCCAATAAAATAGCTGGGCAGTGGTGGCACACTCCTTTAATCCCAGCACTTGGGAGGCAGAGGCAGGTGGATTTTTGAGTTCGAGGCCAGCCTGATCTACAGAGTGAGCTCCAGGATAGTCAGGGCTACACAGAGAAACCCTGTCTCGAGTAAAACCAAAAACCAAAACCAAAAAAGAAAAAAAAAAAAAACCTCACCACCACCACCACCAACCCAATAAAATAACAGGACACTTTAGACAGACTGCTTACCAATCCACCACCCCCGCCGCAAGTCCATTTCCTGCCCTTTTTTGCTCAAGGATTGTTCTGAAGAGTACATCATCAGTTTCCCTTGTTCCTTGTGTCTAGTTGGCCTCAGTTAATGGGAGAAACAGGGCAAGATGTAGGGTCAGGAGGAGCAAAAGGTCAAGATTCTCTCATTCAGCATGTGTAGGAGCCTCCCAGACTGTCTCCTCCTTTACTCCTGGTAGCCCTCTCTGTGTAGTCTCCTTCCATGATTTAGCAAGAGAACAGAACGGGCAGGACTGATTTCTAGGACAGGTATCCTGGCTAGCTCTGTGATATGGGACACTCAAGCAATCCTACGGAGGCACCCTCATGGTAACAAACTGGGGCCTTCTGTCACCAACCCTGTAGTTTACATGAAGTTTGCAGCCTTGAATCCCTGAACCTGTGGAGATTGTTTAAGATCAAATCCCAGCTTTTTGGTTTCCTTTTATTTTAAATTAGTTTTTAGGCACGTGCATATGTATGAGGACATTTGTGTGGATGGTCAGAGGACCACTGTCATGGCATCGGAGTGTAATCTAGCTGAGGTGACAGGGGAGGTGCAAGCAGCTAGTCTAACATACTTGAATTACAGGCCAATGAGGGACCTCATGTCAAATAAAAGGTAGAAAGCATCTGAGGAACAGCAGGCATCTGAGGCTGTACTTTGATTTGCATGAGCACAGGCATACAGGTATATGCATGAATTTGGATATACATCTTCTTACTGCCTTCGTGCATGTGTGCATGCACGTGCCCCCACCACCCCCATAACACATCCACAAGGGGACATGCTGCTTCCAGCCTGTTAGAAGATGTAACTGTGAACAAGATGGACGAAAAAATCCTTGGTCCTTTTTGTTTTTTGTTTATTTTAAAGACAAGGTCTCACTATGTAGCTCTGGCTGGCCTGGAACTTGCTACAGAGACGAGGCTGGCTTTGAACTTGTAGAGATCTGCCTCTGCTCTATTCTCAAGTACTGGGATTAAAGGTTTAGAATCTCTACTCTAGAGGGTAAAGTAGATGGCAAAGTAACTATCAGGTAAATAAGGGATAATTTAAATTTTTCTGTTGCTGTTGTTAAGACACAGTTTCTTTGTTTAACAGAGTTCTGGCTGTCCTGGAACAAGCTGGCCTCAAACTCAGATCTGCTTGCCTCTGCCTCCCAAGTGTTGAGACTAAAGGTGTGTACCACCACATCTGGTGATAATTTAGATTTTAAATCCCAGCAAAGAGCTATGTGTTAAAGGCTTGGTCAGAACTTTAAAAGGGAGTCTACTGGGAAGGGATGAGGTCATCACAAAGGCTGGGTTATCCACCCACCACACAGACCCATGGTTTGAATGTTTGTTTCCCAGCCAGATGATTTATTTGGGGTGGTTGTGGAACTTTTAGCACATGGGCCCTAGCTTGCAGAAGATCACTAGGGATCATTGAAGATGCTTGCCCAGTCCCTGGTTCTAGCCTTTTTCTGTTCTTTCTGGTCTACCATGGTGTGAACAGACTCCTATCTAATAACTGACAGTCTTGACACCTCTGTCTACAACTTCAAGGCTACAATTGAAGAGCTAGGAGAGAGTCAGATACGAGGAGCTATGATAAGGATCTAATCAACCCCAGTCAGTGTAGGTGGCTCTGGTGGGGCTGCCTCCTTACTGTTGGGGATTGGTTCTAATGCTTTATCTTAATTTGGCTCCCAAAATCACACAGGAATCTGCATGTCCAAACGCCAAGGGTTCCTGTTTTCAATTGGTTTTTAATTAATCAGTAAAGAGCCAATGGCCAATGGTTGGGCAGGGTGAAGAGGTGGGACTTTTAGGATTCCCAGGCAAGAAATACAGGGGAGAGGAAGAGGGAATTCCACCATGAGAGGGGCATAGGACAGACCATGCTGTGACGGAGAAGCAGAGAGATCCGAATTAAGAGCCCAAGAGGAAGCGGCCCCAGGGTCTTGCCTGCTTGGGTCTGGGGCAGCAAAGATAAAATATAAATTTGGAAAGTGCTGAGTAGGGAATACTGGAGGGGAGTGTGTGCTAGCCACAGGGGGAGATTCAGGAGTGGCCCAGCCACTGATCTAGTAAGGCATATCAAAAATTAAGCTGGTGTATGTGTGTCTTTCATTCGCAAATCCAGAGCTCTTGGGCAGGAGCATAGAGCGGCTTAACTACACCTTACCAGTTTGGAGATCCTTTCCACCTCTGTCTCACTCACTCCTGGGAGAGTCCTAGAGGTCTCAAGGCTGGTCCTTGAATGTCCAGCAGGACAGGGTCCACTCTGCTGGCTTTGGAAATCCTGGTTGAAGAGTGAGCTTGCTGTTTTCTGAGACTGGGCCTATGGAGACCATATCTTACTTGCTGCTGTTTCTTAACACTGCACTTCTCTTATCGGTATCCTGGTAGCGCTCAGAAGGTGCCACAAAGCAGCTATGACATCAGCTTCTGTGCACAGGTGGCCGTACGGACAAAAGGTGGCCGTACGGACAAAAGCCCATGCAGGTACCTCTCCTGAGCTGTCTCCTTTAGCTCTCTGCAGGGAGATGGTTTTGACGCTCATTCAGGGTTATAGAAAATGAAGTCCTGGTAAGCAAGTGATGTAAGAAAGGGACACCACGCATGCAGTACACCGAAGGCTTGTGCTCCTCTCCCACTCGTGTTGGAACCCTGGCCACAGAGGTGGGGCCTTCAGGAGATGGCCAGGTTATGAGGGTGAGGCTCTCATCAGAGCTGTTCTAAGAGGGGTCTAGAGAACTACCACCATGGAAGGACACAGGAGAAGGCAGCATCTGAGATGGAGAACAGGGCTCCCATCAGACACCCCAACCTTGCATGTCCAGTCAAATGTGAGAAATGATTTTTCCATCTAGAAGCCCCCAGGCCATGCTACTCTGTGTAGCAGCCTGCACTGAATAACACAGACTGATAAGGCCCCAGCCCCACCTGGGTGGAAGGGAAAGGACAAGGTAAGGAGCTCTAGGTTCGCCTAACCAGGTCTATGTCACTGGGCCCAGTGAGACAGCATTTCCTGTCCTGCCCAGCCCCAGGTTCGCAGAGTGGCCTGTGTCACCTCTGCCGACCTCATGAGGGGCACAGCCTACTTCAGTAACTTTTCCTCAACTCAAATGCACATGAAAGCAACATTTAACCTATTGTTTATTGTTGAGAGCTTTATTACATCACCCCTCTCTCCTTAGGCAATTCACTTCCTGTTCTAGAAGGGCAGGGGAATGCCACCTGCAGGGCTGCCTCCACCATTTCTAGGCCTGTTCCCTAGGGCTCCAGCTTCCACTACTTAGTTCCCTGTGTCTCCTTCGTCAACTAGCTCCTCCCCCAGTCCACCAACCCCATGACCAGCTTTTCTTCCCGTCTGCTATTTGATTTAGCCACTTTGCCTGTCTTCTGTTGACCCTGGCCAGCTCCCATCCTCCACAGCCACTCTCCCTCCTCTTTAAAATCTTGGCACTAGGTAGCTCCAGGAGCCAGACAGAAGATCCCAGAGGAAGACACAGATAGGGTCCACCCGGAAGTGTCTTTTCCTTGAGTAAAACTCCAACACCCTAGGCAGCCATGGTCAGGTCTGTGCTGTCCAGAAAGGGGCCAGCCACACACCCCAGGACTTGGATGCTTCAGACAGTTGCCTACCGGCTTGGGGCAGTGGATGTAGCGTGCCAGACTGATAATGAGGTCGTGCGTGATTGGGTCCACCAGGTTCCGGAAACTGGCATAGCGATACAGCACGTCATCCAGGGAGGTTGACTCCATGCCCAGGTCCTGAAAGACAAGGGAACACCCAGAAGTCAAGTGCCATCCAGAACACCCAGAAAAATGACCAGACTCTGGAGACAGCTCAGATCCCCAAAAGCCCAGGCAAGGACAAGTCCAGAGAACATCCCTTAGGGGACAAAGGCAAGCCCTGCCTCTTCTGTCTCCAGCTGAGGTGCAGGAGACCTACAGGCAGACATCCAGTCTCCCAATGTTCATGCAAGCCCTGGTTTATGAACTTCTCCCAAAAACAATGTTCCAAACATCCTTCTGATGAAGCCACAGGTGGCTAGCCTTAGTACTCCATCTCATGGGGCAGGCAGATTGGGACACACAGAAACATTCCCTTGCCTCCAGACAGGACAGTTTACTAATCTTTATTTCTAGTTTCTGCTTCTGAACGTAGTGCTTTGCTTCTGAACTTCTTGCCTGCTATCCCAGGGTATGCTTATCTTTGAAGTCCCACAGAGCCCAAACAGGGCCAGCACTTGGTGGTTCTTCTGCAGAGGGAGCTAGGTGATGGAGACACCTTCCGGCTGGGCTCAGGGAGAGGCGGTGGGTGGAAGAGTGTGGTAGTATGTGTCCTGGACATAGTAGCAACCTTGGTAGTGGGACTGTTCTTTTGGTAGATTGCCCAAGCTCAGTGCTCCTTTGCCCCAGAGGGTAACCAGGGAGGATCGTGCATGAGTGTGTGAGTGTGCACATGCATGTGTGTGTGTGTGTCTAACCACAGGAACTCAGAGAGTATATCAAGTGGGGGCCCAAAGTGAAAGGGGGTGCATATCAGCACTGCTGAACGGGCTATGATGCAGCAACCATCAAAGCAGGTGTTCCACTGGTTTGAGGAGCTACAAGGTTTTATGGGCAACAGGGTTTAGGGCACAATGCCCCCATATATGGTACTATGGCATTTGAGGGAACAGCAGAAGCAGGTTGCAAAAGCACTTCTCCAATTTCTCCCTAGAGTAAGCTATGGTTTAATTCCAGAGGGGTCCCCTCTGTGTTCCACACTGTGGAGAGGACATTTTTTTTATTTCCAAAGCACAAAGATGTTGAGAAGAATCTAAACAAATAAACCTTGCCTAGCTTCTTCCCATCTATCCCAGTAGATTGTGCTCTGTCCTCCCCCCAGACCTCTATATTTCCCATAAAACCAGAGATTTTGGAGCCAAGGTGATGTCTCAGCAGGTAAAATGCTTGCAGTGTACTTTCCAGTGGAATTTGGATCCCCCATGAGAGCTCGGTAGGTGTGGTGCCAGCTACGAGGGTTGGTACCACACTGTTATTCTGGATCCGCAGATGAAGACACAGAAGCTGACTTCTTAAATTGTTGGCGTTATTTGTGTGTGTGTGTGTGTGTGTGTGTGTACCCAGGCCTCAATCCTAGCTCTGTCTTGCAAGGATTGATCAGCCCTCACCTAGTTCTAGAGGTAGCCCAGGCCAGTGATAAATGCAGTGCAGAAAAGGAGCCTTGGGTTTTGATGGTCACTTCCTCTGGGAGAAAAGAAGAATGGGCTTCTGTCCCCCATGGACTTGGAGTGGCCAGGGCACCAAGCCCCATCTCCCGTGGGGAAGGAAGTTCACAGAGAGCTATGTCCCACAGGTAGGACCGTTTGGAGAGCTCTGCCTTCCACTGAGCAGGCACCAGCCTTAGAGGCAAGCTGAGTGCTATGTGCTGTGATCCCTGTCACTCAGTCTGCTTGTCATCCACTGACACATGGTGTGGTATGGTGAGTGCAGAGACTTCTGAAGAGCTGGCTGGCAACAGTGACCCTTGCTTTGACCTCTGTCCTCTGATTGTTCAACCCCTCAGACAATCTATCCAACAGCTCCAAGCCCTTGCCTTCCCTGTAAAATGGAGACAGTGACCTTAGCATTAGACATTGGTAAGAGAAACCAAACTAAGCAACATGGGCAAAGCCTTCTGTGGCTCCCTCAAAGCCCCTCCCCACCCCGTTGGCTCCTCACTTCTTCCCGCTATGCCATGCAGCTCCTTTGGTCCATACACCCATCTGAAAATGTACTGAAAGCCATTAACTGATCAGAAAACACAGGTATCACGGCAGTACAGGGACCTTGGCATATGAACTCCAGGTTGGCCTTGTGGTCAGGAGGGTATGTTAGGAATGAGGAAGACAGGCCCTACCCTGACTAGGGCATAAGGAAGCTGGGAAGGCCTCAATTCCAAGGACATCAGAAGGCCATGTGGTCAAAGGGCCCCAGCCTAGCACTCAGCCTCCCAGCCAGACTTCTGCTTATAGGTCAAGCTTCCCTCTTGGGATAGGAAGGCCGAGAATAGGGTTGTGGAAACATGGAAACATGGTAGTTATTCCCAGGGCTAGAGGAAGGAGGTCAGAAGTATGGGGGGGGTCTTTCTTTTCCTTTCTTCTCCTTTACTGTGCAGCCCAGGCTGGCCTCAAACTTGCAATCCTCCTGCCTTAGCTTACCAACCACTGGAAGTACAGGCCATGGCCAGCTAAGGGTTTTTCTTTTCTTTTCAAGATTTATTTATTTTATTTATATGAGTACGCTGTAGCTGTCTTCAGACACACCAGAAGAGGGCATCAGGTCCCATTACAGATGGCTGTGAAATGGCAGGTCAACTACAAGTTATAAACTGTGTCCCAAGGTCCTGGGGTAGGCAGGTGTTACTGGGGGATGAGAGGGAGAAAGAACAGCTCTTGGTCTCAAGCAAATGAATAAACAATAAGTACTGCCAAAGAAGAATTGAAAATCACAGAGAAGGTGGGCCGGCTTCTTGTCCTCTGTCTAGTTACAGTGGGTCCCATTTCTACAGGCCCCTCCCCCACATGCCAGGCCATGTGGGGCCATTATACTCTTGGAAAGACCAAGAAAGACCACTGGAGACCAGACAGGTCTGACTGGGTGCAGACTGCACCTCTCCAGGGCTACCCTTAGTTGTCTCCTTTACCCTTCAACTCAGGAGCCCCATGGTGGACAGTGGCTGCCTCTGTGTTGTCTCAGTGCCATCATAGAGTTGGAAAGGGTGGAAGAAAGATGTCCCCACCAGGAGGGAGGGGTTGGGTAAGTGAGTCACAGGGTATCACCTTCCTGAAGAATTTTTAGTTGGTGTGGGACTCCCAAAGGTCCAAAGGCTACAGTAAGAAACACCAGCCTGGGGCTGGGCAAAGGCTGCTATACTTTATTGCTTGCTTGATTTCTGGCCTGAACTGTGTCCAAGCACAGTTGTGTTACTTCAGGACGTACCATAGTATCTGGGTATCTTTTCTATGTCTCTTCCTCTAAGTCAGTTCCCTGGGGACTTTAGTGTCACGGTCCATAAACTGGATGTGAGGGAGGAGAGTTAACTAGCTTCTCAGGGCGTCCTCGGGTGGCTGCATCTTTTGCCACAGCCCTGGGGAAGCCAGCTTCCCTGACTGTAGGCAGTGCTGCGTGAGGGGACTGTAAGAATCAAATCCAGATGTGGCCCCTGCATGTGATGGCCTTGGAGGGGCTCTTGCCACCCAGGAGGATTTCATCTTCCTCACTGTAGCTCTCAACAGCACATCTCTAGGAACCGTGAGCACAGATGGCTGCTCATCAGACAGCCTGGGCGAATATCTCAAACAGCACTGAGTCACTACTGGTGGGAGCTCCGCTAGAAGGGTGTAGCTGGGCTAGCCCCAAGCCACTAACTGCTCCCGCCTTGAAATGCTGTGCCTAAAGTTAACAGGCACACAGAGCATCTCAGGGACGCAGAGCCCCATATGACACGAGCTCAGATAAGCAGGTTTGGGGACATTTGGCAATGGGATAGGCAATGATGGGCCTAGGGCCAAGGCTGTGGGGCTTCCAAAGGGCAAGATAGAGCCATACTGGAAGTCAGAACAGCATATTCCAAAGGGTAGTCTTCTAAAGACCAGGGGAGGAGCCTGAGGCCCTTAAGAAATCTGAGGCTCTTCAAGAGCCTCTTCCAGGGACATAACTTGCGTCACACTGGGCTTTCTGTCTAGAGCTCAGCCCCAAACAACCTGCTGTGACAGCCTGGAAGCAGCTGTCACAGTCTTGGAACCCGGCTGTTGGGGGAGAGCAGGATACCAGACATTCACAACAGGAAACAGCCTCTCTTCTTCCGTCTTTATTTCCCTTTGGAAAATTCAGTTACTTTCGTAAAAATCTACTTCTCTCATATGTAAATTTGTTATAAAAATTCTAAAAATTAAACAAACAAACAAACAAACAAACAAACCACCCAGCTTTGTTGAGATGTAATCCACACACAATTTATTCATCATAGGACAGACACAGTCTGGGGCTGAGGTACGGCTCAGTGGCAGAGTAGCCAAGGAATCCAGTGCCCTCCTCTGGCCTCCCTAGTACTCTGCATCTGTGAGGCCCTGGGTTCAATCCTCAGCACACACACAAAAACACCCAAAACAACAACAACAACAACAACAACAACAAATCCAAACCATAAAGTGAAGCTTTGTATAACCACCATGATAAATTTTAGAACATTTTCATTACCAAGAAACTCTGTGACCATGACCCCACTCCCAAGTCTCCCCTATCTGGCACCGGGCAATCGTACCTACTTTCTGTCTCTATGTATTCTGGACTTCTCCTTTTGTTATCTATTGTAACTGTAGATCTTTCCAGCAACACTGCTCTCTCCCTTATTGTATACTAATTAAGTTAATAAGTAAGCCCTTTAGAGACTCTTCTCCTTAAGAAAGGAAGGAAAGAAGAAGGAAAGAAAGATTTATTTAGCCATATGTGGTGGCTCACACCTTTTATCCTGGCACCCTGTCTACTGAGTGAGATCCAAGGCAGCCAGGGATACAGAAAGAAACCCTGTCTTCAAGAAACAAAACAAAACAAAACACCCCCCCAACATTTACTTATTTTTATTTTATGTGAATGAGAGTTTGGCTGAATGCACGTATGTGCACTGTGTGTGTGCCTGGTACCAGGAACTGGAGTTACAGATGGTTCTGAGCTGCCATGTGGGTGCTGGGAACTGAACCTAGGTCCTCTGCAAGAACAAC